GAGAGACAGCAAGCTAATGTTTTCAGTCTAGATGACTCTTCGACAGCGCTGACGTGAAGTGTGAAAGGGGCAGCATTTATGCTACAGTTGTGGGTGGTGGAGTATAGAGCACTGAGGAGGAAAGACATGTAGGAAAGGCACTGTTACAATAATCGTGGGGGACTTCAACATGCAGGTGAACTTGGAAAATCAGGTTGGTAGCGGATCTCAAGAAAGGAATTCTTTGAATCTCTACAAGATTTTTTTTGGAGCAGTTTGTGGTGGAGGCCACTATGGCACAGGCAATTTTGTAGCAGCAGATTTGATTAAGGACCTTAAGGTGAAGGAACCTCTCATGGGCAGTGACTATAATATGATAGAATACACCCTGCAGTTTGATAGGGAGGAGCTGAAATCTGATGTAACGGTATTATAATTGGATAACTACAAAGACATGAAAGAGGAGTTGGCCAGAGTTGATTGGAAGGGAAGCCTAGCAGAGAAGATGGTGGCACAGCAATGGCAGGAGTTTCTAGGGATAATTCAGGAGGCACAGCAGAAATTTGTCCCAGGGAAGAAGAATATACTAAGGAGAGGATGAGGCAACCATCGCTGACAAGGGAAGTCAGGTATAGCAGGAAAGCAAAACAGAAAGCATACAATGTAGTGAATATTCGTGGGAAGCCAGATGACTGGGAAGTGTGAAAATATAAAAAATATATTAAAATATATCTTAAAATATGGCTGTCAAGGAGGTGGCAGCCAGTGATTCCGCAGTGGTCAGTGTTGTGACCACAACTACTCGCATTATACATTAATGTTCTTGGATGGACGAATGGGGACCGTTGTTGTTAAGTCTGCAGATGAGACAAAGATAGGTGGAGGGACAGGTAGTGTTGAAGTGGGAGGCTGCAGAAGGACTTGGAAGGCTACGAAAGTGGGCAAAGGAATGGCAAATGGAATACAATGCAGGAAATTGTGAGGTTATGCACTTTGGTAGGAAGGATAGAAGTATTTATGCTCCTGTATCTTATAGTCACGGAGTCATAGAGTCATATAGCACAGAAATAGACCCTTCGGTCCAACTCATCCGCACTTACCAGACATCCCAACCTGACCTAGTCCCATTTGCCAGCATTTGGTCTATATTCCTCTAAACCCTTCCTATTCATATAACCATCCAGATGAATTTTAAATGTTGTAAATGTACCAGCCTCCACCACTTCCTTTGGCAGCTTGGTCCATACATTCACCATGCTCTGCCTGAAAACATTTAATGGTCACTCATCACGGGACATGCCATCGTCTGACCTGACAGTGGAGGGAAGATCTCTGATAAAGCAGCTGAAGACAGTTGAGCCGAGGACACTACTCTGAGGAACTCCTGCAGAGATGTCCCAGAATTGAGATGACTGACCTCCAACAATTACAACTATCTTCCTATGTGCCAGGTATGATGCCAACCAGTGCAGTTTTTATACGGATTCTCATTGATTCTATTTTTCCTTGGGTTCCTTGATGCCAACTCAAGTCAAATGTGGCCCTGATGTCAAGGGCTGTCACTTTCACTTTCACCTCTAGAATTTAGATCTTTTGTTCATATTTGAACAAGAGCTCAAATAAGGTCAAGAGCTGAGTGGCTTTTGCCAAACCCAAACTGAGTATCACTCAGCGGATTATTGCAGAGCAGATGCTGCTTGATAATGCTGCTGAAAACACCTTTCATCACTTTACGGATGATCAAAAGTGGATTGATAGGGCGGTAATTGGCTGGGTTGGATTTGGACTGCTTTTTGCATCTAAGACATACCTGGGCAATTTTCCACATTGTCTGCTAGATGCCAGTGTTATAGCTGTACTGGAACAGCTTGGCTAGGGGTGTGGCAACTTCTGGAGCACAAGTTTTCTGGGTAATTGCTGGAATGTTGTCAGGGCCTATAGTCTTTGTGGATATTTGTGGAGCCTCCTCCTCCAATTAGTTGTTTCATTGTCCACCACTATTCACAACTGGATGTAGGATGACTGCAGCGCTTGGATCTGATCTGGTCATTGTGGAATGAATTTAGCTTTGTTGAAAACTTGCTGCTTATGCTATTTGGCAGCTAGTAGTCCTGTTTGGTAGCTTAACCAGGTAGACACCTGATGTTTATGTGTGCATACTGCTGTTGTTGGCGTGTTGTCCTGCCCTCTCCATTGAACCAGGGTTGATCCCCTGGTTTGATGGTAATGGTTGAGTGGGGTAAACACCAGGCCATGAGGTTGCAGATTGTGCTGGAGCACAATTCTGCTGCTGTTGATGGCCCACAATGCCCCATGGATGCCCAGTCTTGAGTTTCTACATCTGTTCAAAGTCTGTCCAATTTAGCACACAAAACAATGGAGTATATTCTCAATGTAAAGATGCAACTTTGTTTCCCTTACTGATACATTCGTGAACAAAAACGTCTGCAGTCACCAGGTTGGTAAGGATGAAGTCAGGTATGCTTTTCCCTCTTGTTAATCCACCTGCCACAGATCCGGTTGAGTAGTGAAGTCCCTTAGGACCTGACCAGCTCCAACAGTAACAGTGCTGCCGAGCCACTCTTGGTGGTGAACATTGGGGAATGGAAGAATTCAGAGTGCATATTCTACACCTAACAACACTCAGTGCTTCCTCCAAGTATTGCTGAACATGGAGAAGTACTGATTCATCAGCTAAGAGTGGATGGTACATTGTAATCAGCAGGAGGATTCTTTGCCCATGTTTGACCTGATGCCATGAGACTTCTTGGGGTACAGAGTCAATGTTGAAGTCTCCCAGTGCAATTCTCTTTCAATAGTATACCATCTCTGCTGGGCTTGTCCTGCTGGTGGGACAGGATATTTCCAATGATGGTGATGCTGGTGTCGGAGACATTGAGAGTATGACTGTCAGACCATTGCTTGACCAGTCTGTGAGACATTTCTCCCAGTTTTGGATTAATCATTAGATGTTAGTAAGGAAGACCTTGCAGGGCTGACAGGGCTCTTATTTGCCTTTTCTGATTGCTAGGTCGGTGTCAGGTGGTTGTCAGTTTCGTTTCTTTGTAGACTTCACAGCGATTATTAATATTGAGTGGCTCTATTTGAGACTTATCCAGTTTGCAATGAGTGTGGAGTCACCTGCAGGCCTGAAGGTCTTTAGTGGACCAGATTGTCAAAAAAACCAATCAGCAGTGGTTTCACAGTGATTGTTATACTCTTATTTCCAGATGTTTTATTGAATTCAAATTCCACCATCTGCCATATAATACGAACATGGGTCTCCAGAACACTAGCTGAGTTTCTGGATTAATAGGTCCAGCGATAATACTACTGGGGATCCCTTCCCTTTTTGAGGGTGCAACCATAGGGGCAGTAACTGGATGTGGCTGGGAGGATCTAAAACTGTGTGGCATGGAACTTGTTCCAAAAGACAACCTGAAGATGTAAGGACTGTGGCAGGCCTGAGGAGAGTGTGTTGGAGCAGATAGTACCTCAGTTTGATGATGTAGGGGAGCAAGGAGCTCATCACCACCCAGTTCCTCTTTCTCCTCAGTCACTGAGCCCTCTCCTTCTGAACAGTCAAGCCTGATATTTTCCTGACCATCACCGAAATGTCAAAGAAGAACAGCACAGCTCAGGAACAGGCCCTTCAGTCCACCAAGACTACCCTGACACATGATTCCTTTCTAAGCTAAAAACCTTTCACCTGTACGTGGTTCATATCCTTCTGTTCACTGTCTTTCCATATATTTGTTAAGATGACTCTTCAATCTTGCTATTACATCTGCCTCTGTCACCTCCTCTGTCAGCGCATTCCGGACATTTACCACACTGTATTAAAAAAAAACTTGACTCTCACATCTCCTTTAATCTTTCCCTCTTTTACTTTAAATGTACATCCCCATAGTAATTAACATTTCTACCGAGAAAAAGGCTCGCTGACTATCCACTGTCTCCATTCCTCTTATAATTTTGTAAACTTCTATCAGGATAAATTCTTTGTGCACCAGCGCTTAGGATTCAACTGACAGTGTTTTACCACACAAATAAGCCAAAGTGTCAAACGTACAGGGAGGTGAATCAGAGGAAACCAAGCCATGGTCTTCTCTTGAACACCAAAAGGGCTGAGGGTGCCCCCACCACCTCCATAGCCTGAAAGTTATGTCAATAATTCTATAAGCTGGGAAAGTTTCTGTTTATGTAATGACCTTAAGATATATAGCCTTGTAAAAATGTTTTGAATTTGGGCGAGAGATCAGTTGAATGTCTCCTCACCCCCTTCAGGGTCTGAATGTGATGTTCCATGTGACTCATAATGGAATTAACCCCTTGGTTCAGTGAAGATGAGGCCTGGGCCTAGCTGAATTAGCAGGCAACTGGCATCCCTGGGGAAGGAGGTATCTGCCAGCTCAGCGGCCAGCTGTCCGTTGCCTATTTAGTGGTCCACACGGGGTCTGAATCTTCACAAAACACATTTTGCCAGTGTGTTTCTCTGGTGAGGGTGAGGGGGCTAGTTAGGGAGACGAGCCGGGAGACATTCCCACTGTCGGCTGGACTAAATGGCTGGTCAGTCAGTCAGCAAACTGGACGGAGCAAGTGACTGAGTGTCAGGCTGAATAAAATCCAGTGACAAAGTAGAATGAGAGCCCTTGGAGTGCAATAAATATCACTGCCCTAGACGGAGAGCTGAAACATTATCGCCACTGCCTTCACCAGCATTCCCCGTCCACTCTGTCTCTCTCGCCCCCATTCCCTGCTTAAAGAGATGGAGTCAAGGGAGTCTCTCCCCGCCGCAGGGTAAGACAGTGAGTGGGTTCGGGAAGTCTCCACCCCTCCCCAGTGCCCTGGGTTAAGAATGAGGAAGACGGTTGAAGGGACTGGGTTTTTTTTTAATTTCGTGAACAGGGGAACGCACAGCACTAGATGCGAGTTCAGAGACTGATGGAGTCAGGGAACACTGTCACTGTGGTTCTTGGGAGATTCACTTCCTCAGTCAGAGGATGAACAGCTGTACTTACTGTGAACAGAGGGTGTCAGCAAGGAGGAAATCCGAGCGAGAGAGGCCTGTCGATGGGTCACTGTCAGTCACAAAGTGCTCTGGGCCGCCCTCTGTTTGCTCTTTGATCTCAGTCTAACCTCCCACCCTCCCCTTTCCTGTTTCCCCTCAAAGGTTGTATACTTTTTTTCTTTGCCTTTCTCTCTCCTCTAGTTCCCCTGCCCTTCCGTCTCTCTCTCTTTTTCCTTCCTTCCCGCTGCCTCCCCCTCTCCTACCTCCCCAACCCCCCCTTACCCCTTACCCCTTTCTGTCTCTCTCTCACCCCCCTCCTTCTCTCTAAAGTTAGCTGCCGAACTCCATTTTGTTCTTTGAACGTTCCTCCTGCTCTCAGCGCTTGAACACCCACGTGACCCGACTTCTTTGTGGCCAGTTGCTATGGTGACTGTAGTTTTGCCTTGGACTAGCCTGAGTGAACTCGGACAAAAACAACCGTGTTCTGTACAGTAATCTGTTCCTGCTCATCAGGACACGGAGAGGGGTGAGGCGAGGCGAGGCGAGGCAGGGGCATGGAGGGGTGAGAGGAATGAAAGGGATGGGGGGAGG